TCCGCCCCCCCAGGCGCGGTAGGAGTGGAGCCGCCCCCCAGAGTGGCGGCGGTCTCTCCTGACTCTCACTTAACCCAGGGTCTGACGGCGTGGCTGCAGCGGGTGCTTAGTGTCCCCCAAAATCTCCGTTAGTTCCGCCACCCTCACCGGAAGTAAACAACCGAAGCAAAGTAAAAACAGGATGCTTGCTACACTATTGCAGCCTCAGGACCGGTCCCAGTCCCCTTCCAACCAATGCACTTGTCCCCCAATATAGAAATTCAGGAGCCGCTTCTAGTATACAGTTAGTGATCGAGAGCCCAGCTGTCCCCGGCCCTAGATCCCGCCCCTTTAGAATCCTGCCTCAAGGGTCGGAGATTCTGAGTTGCCATTCCTGCCTGGGCTGCGGCCACATCAGCCAGGTTTCATCCAAGGGTTTCATCCAGTAAGACAAGGTGAGAGGACTCCGGTGTCTCCTCTTCCTCCTACCACTTCGTGTTGCCCGCGGTTTCCATGGCTCCTGGAAGCCAGGATGGCTTGGGTAGCTGAAAGCAGAGGAGCTCAGAGGGGCTCCTGTCCCCAGCCCTGACAAAGTGCTAAGTTCTGAGGAGGTAAGTCGGGCTTGTCTTCCCACCAGCCCTCCCACCACCGAGAACCCAGAAGTCCTTTCCTCCCAGTAAAGAGGCAGAGCACTCTTTTTCGGAAGTAGAACAGGAGCCATCTCCTGGCTCCCTCTCTAAAAACTGTAGTTCAGCAGCTATCCTGCCTGAAATTCTTCCATTAGAGCTTCATTCTTTGTCTTTTTGTTCCTAAAAGAACTCACACCTAGAAGAGAGACAGAGTATGAGCCACTTGGAAACAGTGAAGTAATTCCCCCATCCCCAACTCATCCCACCTCACCTCCCTCAGCCCTCCAGTGCTGGTTGGCTGAGACCTTGGCAACTGGTAGCTGGAGGGATCAGGGGCCAGGGCCACATTCAGAGGAGGTTTGCTCCACGCTCTCTGCCCATCAGGCCCAAGTTCTTTGTCCAGGCCTCAACCCATGTGCCTGCCAACTCTTTTCTGTGTGGGTTGAGGACAAGGAAATGTCCCTGCCCTGCACCTGCCACCAGCCACCTGAGCCCCACAGCAACTCTTGTTGCCTTTGATTTCCCTTTTGCCCCCCTGGGCTCCTGGCTCCGCTCACCTCCCCCTCTAGGTCCCAGCTTCTCTGATCCCCTCTTCGTCCTGCTGGCCTTGCTCTCTTCTGTCTCCCACATCTATCTTTGCCTTTTCCAGGGGCGGATAATTCACCTTCAGAACTTAGCCCCAGGGTCACCTCTCTGGAAAGGCTTCCTGGGACCCCCAAGTGATGATCAGGTTCCCTTCCTTGTGCTCCCATAGGACTCGGTGGCTGTGTTTTCCTCTGTGCTGGCTTCGAAAGCTCAACAGCCTGGCCTGTGCCACTCCCACTCCAGCAGACCATGAGCACCCAGCCCCAGCCAAGTCAGGAAAGCTCAGGTTCTCAGTAGGGGCTCGGGGCTGCCCGTAGAGAGCCCCTGCCTCTAAATGGGAAAGACAGAGCATCTAGGCAGAGTGCACCTGGGGGTGCCGTGCCAGGGCGTGGGAGGTGGGGGCCGGGCCCAGTCCTCGTGTTCCATTTTGGAGACGCCTTGTGTGGTGGTGAAATGCTGGGGAGACAGCTCAGCAGGGAGCTCAGGAACCTGAGCCTGGAGTCAGGGGAAAGGAGAGAGTCAAGGTGTGTGGAAGGTAGAGGGCCTGGTGGGTGGTGGTATAAACCTGAGCAGGGAATGCATCAGGGAATGCGAGGAGTGGGCAAGTCAGTTATGGCTCAGGGGCCCCATCTTACAGCTGAAGCTATGAAAGCCAGAGAGGTACTGGAACAGTGACTTAACCTGAGGGCTTCTGACCCCCCACATACAGTAAAATACAGTGTCCCCCCCCCAATTTTCCCCTGACTTTTGCCGTTTCTAGACTCCCATACTGGGAAGGAGAGCAGCAGGGGTGGAGGAACATGGCCTGGTTCACAGTGGACTGACTACCTGCATGACCCAGGGCAACTGACTTCCCCTCCGAGCTTCAGGCCCCCACCCCAAACCTGGGAGGATCAAATGAACCCGTTGGTCAGCAAGTGGCCAGGACAGAGTCAGTACCCACAGATCATGGAAACTGTTCGAACTGAGAATTGTTTAGTGAGGTTGGGGCTAGTGCTTATTTGAGATCTGAATCCCCAGGGAGAATCTTGTACCAAAGGTTGTAGTTAAAGGGTTTAAATGCACACTTGGCCCCAGGGCCTCGGTTTCTACATCTGAGGAGGGGCTGGTGCTCTGGGAGGGCAGGTGTGCCCCAACTCCAGGGTCTCCCCTCTGTCCTGCTCTCAGGACCCACTGAGGCAGAGCCCCATGGACCTGATGCCTGGCCCTGCCTGCTCTCCCCAGCATTCCTGTCACCTCTGGCCACTGGACTGTGTCTGCTCACTGAGGCCCACTGAAGGATGCAGATGGGTGTAGGGAAGATGGGCACAGCAGTCCCTGGGGCTCGGGCCAAAGCCTGGCTCCTTTTTCCCTGGCAGGTGCTCAGATAGGACCCCTGAGCGGGCCTGGAGGTGGTCAGAGAAAGACCAGTGGGTGTGGCTGGCAGAGAGCAGGTGGCAGTGGGCCAAGCTGGCTGGCCACCTCTGGGTGGCACTGGAGGCCCCATCCAAGCAAGCACAGGTGCTGCAGAAACGGGAGGGAACGCAAGCTGGGAATCGGCAGGGCCCGATGGGAGCCGCTGGCTCTGAAGCGGAAAGTCAGGCCCTGATCCTCTTCCCCAGTCTTCCTTGCTTGTTCACAGCCCCAGCGTGGTCCTCAGAGCTAGCAAGTTCCCCTTACTAGGCTGAAAACTCCAGAATGCTCAGGGCTGGTGCCCACGTCTGGTATCATGTTCTCAGGAAGAAGTCTTGTCGGGGTCTGGGGCATCCAAAGGAGACAGACGGGAATTGATTCCCCAACAGGGCTGCCATGTTCAAAGTGTCATCTCTGTGAATGGCACCTCTGGAGGTGTGTGGTGCATTACCTGGTGTGGCTGGGAACTGTGGACAGAAGCAAAGAAAGGGCCAGAGAACCTGTAGCCTCCCCACTCCCCTCAAGAGTCAGAGGGAAGGAGGTGGCTAGTTTTAACTCAATGGATAGAAGAGTTTCCTTAGAAGCCCAGCCACCCCTGGTGAAGCTTCTATCCTCAGGGAGGAAGAGAGGGCTATGCAAACTGAGGCTCCTATGGGAGGTACCCAGCATCCCTGACCCAAGTGAGGATATGGACAGTACCACCCTATGATGGCCCAGATACCTCAGCCTTTAGTGACCTGGGGGTCTCAGTCCATAGCTGACCCTCCTAGAGCCATTATTCCCTACCAGGCTGGGGACCCAGTTGACATGCCTGCCACTCTCTAGCATTCCACAGCAGCATCCCCTGTACTCTTGCTGGAGCACCAAAGCCATCAGGAGCTGGGCTGGAGAGGTGATGTGTCTCAGGTCCAGCTGGAGGTGAAGGGTTGTACATCTGGAACCTGTAGTGATAACAGCTGGGCAGCTTCCCAGAGCCTTGAGGCACAGTCCCATGTGTACAAGTCAGGGCACAGGTCCATGCTGGGCCCCCAGCTGGGCTTATCACAGCTGGTGAAGCAGGCAGGACCTCGTGGAGTCAGCCTGCTTTATCAGGGGTTGCAGACACTGCCCTGCCCAGGGTGGGGGATGCATGTTTTGAGGCTGGTCCTGCCGTCTCCAGTGGCTCATGCTGCCTCTAGCCCTCCCCCAAGTAGGTGGATTGCTCCCTGGCCTGCCTGGAGCAGGAGAGACACCAACTATGGGGATCCCAGGGACAGAAGGAGTGGAGGAGGCCAGACCAGGACATGGAAGACAAGTGAGGGTGCCAGGAGTCGGGGAGGAGTGGGGTGGCAGAGGATGGGCAGACAGTCTCTTCTGCCTCCAGTACCCTGCTACTGCAGATAGAAGTGGAAAAGGCCCAGTGGTTTTTCGACAAGATGAGCTGACAGCCCCTTGACCTGGAGCCCAGCCTGAGGACCCCTGGAGTAGGGATGACCAGAGCCCTCCTCCAAGTGGGTGCATGGCAGGGCCCGTGTCCAGCCCTGCCCTGTACTTCATCCGGGTCATCAGTCTTGGAGCAGCAGCCAGGGAAGGAGGGCAGTGCAGGGGCTTCTGTTCAGCCCAGAGGGGATGCTTCTCTCCCTAACATTTGGAAAGAGCTTGTGATCACCCAACTGGCTTCTCTTCTGCTTCAGATGGGAAAACAGCCCAGAGGGTAGGGAAGAACTTGTTCAGGGTCATAACACTGTGGTTGGAAACTGGGAGGCGCCCCCTGGACTGAGCGTAGCTGCAGGAGATGCTGAGAAGCAGAGATGGGATGGCATCGGGACCCAGGCACTTCAGGGCTCAGAGAGAGTCTTGATGGGGGCAGCTGAGAACCCTGCATAGGCTCAGGATACAACCCACCTGTGGGAGCGGCCGCTGATGCTCACCCAGGTGGGTCAAGACAGCTGGCAGGCTCAGCCCTGCAGGGAACACAGGGCATGAACTGAGCCAGGCTGTGCTTATCTGTGCCAGGAGGGCAGAGCAGCAGGTGAGCCTGGGCCCTCGTCCTTGGAGGATTCTGAGGGACTCCACTGAAACAGCACCCTCTGCTGGTGGACACCCAGGTACTGTCCAGACTTAAATCATTTGGTCTGGAGTCGGAGGAGCCCCTGTGGGCTGGGTGGTCAGAGGCGTCCTGGAAGGGTTGAGTCTCAGAGGACGTGGAGGTCAGGAACGCTGGGAGGAGGGGGCTGCGTCAGTAAAGGCCTGTGGGCTAGCTTGAGCAGATAGATCTCAGTCAGGTGAGCCCCATGGCCCTGAGGCTAAGCCATGACTCTGGGTGGAATGAGGGTCTTCACAGGTGAACAAGAGACTCTTGGAAGAGCTGGGTCAGAGTGACCAGTGGCTTGGGGCCTGCCTGGAGCAGCTGCAGCAGTTACAAGGAGAGAAGCTGGAGTTGGAGCGCTGTGCACAGGCCCTGGAGGCAGAGTGTTCGGTTGCTTGGGGAGAAGTCGGTGCAGGTAGCAGTGCTGGGGGCGGCCCTGGGCCAGGAGGCCTGGCAAGTGGCTGCTGGGGCCCACCTCTCAGTGTCCAGGCCCGGTTGGAGTGGGGGTCCTGTTCTCACACTGGGTGAGATGGCCTGTGGGCAGGAGGTGGGCCAGCCTCTGTCACAGATATTGAGGGGAAAGGCCCAGAGCCCCAAACCCTGTCACATGGCCAAAGGCAGACTCTCTTCCCCAGGAATCAACACTCCTGGCTGTTACAATGGCTCCCATATGGGAGCATGTGGGAAATCTGTCCGCTTCAGCAAGTCCTGTCTCCCCTACACATGGCTGAGCCCCTCCTGCTGGCCCAGGGCCAGGCTGGGGAGGTGAGATAACCTTAGCTGCTGGGCTCACTGGGATGCTTGGGAGAGGAACTGCTCAGGACAGAGGGTTGTGTGTGTGCAGGGAACCATGAAGGAGGCATCTCTGTCCCAGTCTCCAGCCCAGCTATCAGATTGTGGTGAGGACATCCATGCAACTTGGACAGGAATCATTGAAAATGGGTGAAAACAAGGTGTGGGTGATCTGAGGTCCATGCTGTGCCTAGACCACCTCATTTCTACTAGCACACTTCAGCTCCAGGAGGTACAGTGCCCCACTGGAAAGAGCCTGGAGGAGGAGGAATCACATCCCAGGCTTCATGAGAAGGCGTCCAAGTACAGGTGGCAGCTGCCCTGAAATTTAAAGAGGAAGAACTGCAGGGACTCCAGAGGCCGAATGCAGCCTGGCCTCCCCAGGCGCCTACACTCTGTCCACCCCTTTCCCTCCCCACCCACAGCTTCCTCCTCCCCATTCTCTTCCCTACCGCCCAGTCTTTCCTGCTACCTGCCAGTGAGTCTCTTCCGACTTCTTAGGATCCGCCCTGACTTTATCTTACACTTCCTTCCCTTCTGCCTTTTCCTCCTTGAGCTCCATCAGTCTCCACTCATTCATTAGCATTTACTAAGCAGCTACTACAGGTCTGGCCCTCTTCCATACACAGGAGAACCAGAGTCCAAGCAGATCACTCCCTGGCCCTGAAAGTTTCTGGTTTGGGGGCACATAATCAAGCATGATTTATGAGTTAATGTGCCTGAAGAGGGGAAGGGCATTATGGAAGCTGAGGAGGGCTCACTGGGGTGGGGTGAGGTGGGAACCACCTGGGGTCAGATGACCCTAAAGTCTTCCCCCAGCCTGGTACCAGGGACCTAGTACAAAAAAGCAGGTGGTCCAGGCTCTGCCAGAGTCACCAGCCCCTTCCTCTCATGGGGTCTCAGCTTCCCAGTCTGTATGATGGGTAAACTCCCTGCCCTGCTCCCTGTATCACCTGGGGGCTCAGGGCCAGGGTATGGGGCCTTCTGGACTCAGGAAGCCCATCTGCCCATAAATGGACAGTGCAGGGAGACAGGGGAGGATCTGGAGACAGAGGGGGCTTAGGAGATGTGAACCTGCCCTCAGGAGGCTCTCGGACTGGATGGTATTAGTCATACAAGGAACACTGAGGGAGGGTCACCCACCAATATTTTTGGATTTAGGGAAAATTTTTAGTCACCTGTCAGTTTTGCAGGGAAGAAAGAGGCCATCTTGCTCCTCCCCCTCAGTGCTGTTCCATCAGCCTCTCCCAGCACCTGACAGCCATCTGTCCCTTCTTTGGGTCAAGGTGTATTCCCAGGCAGGCCCCTGTGAGAATGGAACCAGACCAAGATAGGAGCCAACAACCCCCCACCCCCATTCCCAGACTTCCCTGCAGGTGGGCTCCAAGCTAACCCAGATGCGGGCTAAGTGTGAGAAAGTCTGGGACGTGCTGAAAGCTCGGGACTCAGAGCTGGACGCTCAGCAGCTGGCCCTAGAAGGCGCCCGGAACCAGGTGCTCAGCACTGCCCCCACCACTGGCCTCTGCCAGGCCCATGTGCCGAGGGAAGGACCCAGTCTCCCCTGCCCAATCCCTGATCACAGCATGGCCACTGGCTTTCCCTCCCCAGAGTCAAGTCCCTTTCGGGCTCTCACCACCACTACCCCACTTTCCTTTGCTTCAGCCCCAGGGTACCTGGGTGTGAAGGGCTCTTAGAGAGAAACGTCTTCCCTCACAGAGATGCTCACCAGGCCCCACAGCTCCTCCTCTTCCCCTGAGGATCGGGGGCAGGTGGCACGGGGCATTTGGGGACATGCTGCCAAGAGAGGCCTCTCATTCCCTGGGGTGACATTGCTGGGCCAGGGGCCTGATGTGTCTCTCCATCTGCCTTCTCTCTGAAGAGGGAAATCCAGGGGAAGAAGAAGGAGGGGTGTGGCTAGGTGGGCTCTGGGGGCACGGGGAGTCGGGACGTCTGGGTTCCTGGGCCTGGGCTCACAGATTGAAGGAGAGTGGCCTTCAGAGCCTAGAAGTCCTGGGCTCAGGTCAGCTCTACCACCAACCAACTCACTGAGCAATAGCAAGTCTGACTTCTCTAAGCGTCAGTTTCCTTATCTGCAAAATGGGGATACTGACACTACCTAGCTCAAAGGACGAAGGGAGGATTACACAGGACAGTGCATGCTGCATGGTGCCTGTTTCCAGTCACCCTGAGCTTCCTGACCCCTGGGGTCCAATTTGGGTGTCAGTATCAAAGCCATAAAACCAAAGGGGTGTGCCCAAGGCCAACTACTTGTGGTGCTTTAGTCACAAAGTCTATTTATCCAAATGTTCCACAAACAAGGAATTGTTTTCACTTCTTATTAAGTTCAGGAAACAGTTTGAGATAAAGTGCCACCATCAGTGATACACAGTGTAGCACATTCCAGGGCCTGGAGCCTGAATACTGTCTATGCTCGGATACTGTTTCACTCTGACCAACAGCCTCTTCTTTATGACCCTGCATGGAGGAACTTGATGGGGTGGGGGCTCCCGTCCTTTGCCTCAGCTGCTCTCTGGGAACCCCAAGGGAAGGGGTCAGATCCGTCAGTGCACCCTCAGGCTGAAACTGTCCTCAGGGAACAGAAACTGATGCAGCTGTGAGCATCAAGGTTTCCAGCACTGGGAAGACAGGAACCGCCAGCCACCTCTCAACCCCTGAAGGTTGGGGATCCTCTAGAGGGGCAGTGGGAGTGACCCCTGCCCTGTGAGAGCCAAACCCAGCTTCTCTCTCTGCCTTTGTCTCCCCATCTACAAGTTGGAGGGGAAACAGGATCAAAGGGCCTTTCCAGCATGGGTCTTTGCTGGTTCTGGATTCCTCAGCTGGTTTCCCCCTTCCCTGTCCAGAGCTGGAGCCACCCCATACCTGGCCCCTGCCCTGCCTCTGTGCCACTTCTCCTCCATCTGCTCCCAGATCTTAGCCACAGCCCTGGAACCACAGAAGAGAGGAGCATCTGAGAAAAACTGGCAGCCAGGGGCAGTGCTCAGGCTGGGGAACAAAGGCGGTGTGGAGATTGAGGTCCCGAGCCACCAGGGAACAGCTTCATAGTCTCACTCTGCAGCACAAGAGAATAAGGTCAGCCTCAGTCCACCCCTGGACTGACAGGCCTCAGAGAACCAAGGACTTCTGAGGAGAGGGGAGGCCCCTGTGGCTATGCCTTTAGCCCCCAAGGCCAAGATGTTCTTAGGGCCTGAGGCCTATT